AGATCTTAGGTAAGTTGTTATTATTATAAACCGTTGGATGGGGGAAAATTTTGCTTAGGGTCACAATATTACACGTTCAGGTTTTGCTAAATGCATGTAGCTGAATCTCTCTTAATACATTTCTGAAAGATAACGCAAACCCTTAATTATTTACTTTCAAATATAAACAATGAAACAAGTAACTGAAAATTAACATGATGTATGAACGCCAAGTAACCCACTGACTCTTGGGATTCGAAAGTCAGTTGTGGTTGCAAATGGTCCAATGCATTCATTGAATTAATTATAACTAAATATTTTTCAGAACTGCGTCGAATTCCACAATGCATTTACTCCTGTCTGTAGTGAAGGCTTGCACCAACCCCTTCGGCCTCGCCTCTCTTCCTGCTATCCCTCTCGTAGCATCCCGCTATCCTGAAATGAATATTATATTAAACAGACGAATTTCATGTACATTGTATTAATTGATGCATCATAATTATTAATTGTATGATGAATTAAATGTTATTTACAATTATTTTGAATACCAAACAAAACCCTTTTATGTCATTCTAATACTCTTGGTATCTTTCTTTTTCACCTGAAACATGCTGAGCAGACATGAGATGCCATGGTTTATCATGATGCTTTTATATAGTCTATTAATCATAGTTATCTTTGCAATATAAAACTGGTATGCTTATGCAAAACCCAATTGGACTGATATAAAGGGGTATTGTTTCATTATGTGGACTTGTGAAAGGCCGACATACTCTTGCTTCCAGTTCCAACCCAAAACTTAAAATAGGAAGTTATCAAGATTCAAAAACACGATCGCTTATTAAACAATACGCTTGTAAAATCCCGGCGATCAAATGCAATCAAACTTTCGCAATCGGGTGCCTAATTAGTCTTTTGATCTCCGAAGTTTTACTGGACTTTTCAATGAACTCGTGAGAAGCAAACGCAATCATCACAAACTCAAATAAACATGTTTCTAGTAAATTTGAAATAGAGTAAAACCCAGGGAAAAAAATCGCGTGGTGATTAGATTATTTCATAGGAATTTGGCATATTTCAATTTTGAAATAGCAAAAGTCTGTCTCGGAAGAATTTACCAAGCATTCCCTACTTCAATGCGTTTTTATTGCGAGGGCCGTTTAGCGCCGATACGACCTCATTAGGGTTGTGCTTTTTCGTTTTATTAATATAAATGTTATGAAATGTGGAGTTCACAAGTGACACTATAATGAATTATTTTTAGGTTTACAATGCATATTTGGCTTTTCCCTCTAAAAGTTCAAAATTCATCTTTATACTTTTCTTGATTCAATAAAATTAACATTGGATCCCAGACAGTTATCAAATTCTCAGACATTTGATTAGTCTAGATGTTTGTACTTCCTTTGATCAGTGGCTGGTGTGACTGGAATTCGAATCTAATCTGTTTCATTTTTATGTAAATTGAAAGGAATAAAGTTTTATTTTAAGTGTTTTAACAATATTAACGTTTGGCGTGCAGCGCAACTTCATACACAATCAAGGAACAGAATACAGGTATAAGAACATGCCTTTTATTTTCAAGCTCGAGCAATATCCCCGTCATAAACCCAAAATACGGTCCTTGGCAGAAATGGTCTTGCAACAAACCTGTATGTGCCCGCTTGTCAGTGTAACTAATAAATAAAAAGTACTGAATATAAAATACATGTACGATTCTGAATAAAAACTTTAAGAACGTGGTTTGCGTTATTAATTTATTTATTTAAACAAACGCTCTCGTCTTTTGAACTTTATGAAGAGTAAATCCGATCTGAGATTTGAAATCGGGAATAACAGATACATACATACATAATAACAAAAGATATACGTTCCCAAATAAAAAAAATAGGAGAAGAATCTAGATTACAATCCAATAAACAATATCAAGTTTAAAATCCGACAATACACTCCGGCCGTAAAAGTTTCTGAATTTAATAACAACGTATGTGACTGTGTAATTATATCCATTGATGTTGTAAACTATACTACGGTTTAAGCAGAATTTGCTCCTTGAATAATTCCTGCCTCGATAGTGTAGGGATCGCTCACATCAGGTAGGCCATCATAAGAGGGAGGTTTTCACATAAGTCAGAGAGTATGTTAAAGGACACTCTTCTTCTCACTGACCTTGTAAAATTGTTCTATAGTTAATACCATGCACAATTTAACAGTACCATATAATAAAAAAACAACATATATTAAAGGTGCAACAATGAGTGCAAAGCGGCCAATAAATGATCATGGACCATTTATTAAAGTTTGGATTGCCCGCCCTATTTTTCCCATTTTTTAATTTTTGTATAATCTCTCATTAGGCCTATAGCTCAAAATATCACTAGGGACCAAGGGAGAAACCTAGAATTGTGTCATGGAATAGGCTGTTCAGAATGTCAGTCGCTTGCCGTTGGGAGACCGCATCGCTCACTGGAATAGCGTACCAATGTTAATAATAGCCTAGTGTCATTGCTATAAACTGCTATTTGATTGGTCGATTCAGTACCATGTGATTAAAAATACCATAACATATATTAAAGTTCTATTTGGATTTTAAAAGACGTATTGCCGGGCGTATTTTCCGCCCGGGAATTCTGACAACTGTACTGGACGAAAACATCGGGAGACCGCTCCGCCCACTGTCTGAAGCCAATGTTTTTGCTATAAATCAAACCACGGGGATCTACACGACCTGTGATTTAAATACATGTTAGTAAAGTGATCATCAAAATGAATGTCCTTGCTTGCTTTTTAAAATAAGTTTTCATGCGTTATAGGGCTATACAAATTGAACGGGGGGGGGGGGGGGGAGTAATGTGTCTAAAGACATGATAATGATATGTTACTTCATTTTATTTCATATAATTACTCCAAATTTTCCCATTTCACTCTTCAGAGTTATTGAATTCCTTTTTAAAATATACGAATTCGTGAATTTGTTCCATCGTATGTATTACCCCCCCCCTTCCCCGTTCACGGCAACCGCATTCGTATGGTACGTGTACATGTACATTAAACTAACAAGAAAGCAATAACATTAGTTTTGTGATAATAACGTCCCTTATAAGTATTTGTTTTCGGCTCGTGTAGATCACTGATTTATAGCAAAAACATTGCCTTTTGCACATTGGTGACGATGAACCCTTTTATTAGATGTCATGATGTTTGCAGCGCCTACTGTATTCTTTAAGCAATTCAAGAGTAAACTTTCTCTTTATCTTGAAAAAAAATCTTCTAGATTTGTTGAATTTTCTTGCAGAAATCGACGCCTCATTTTATCCGATCAAAAAGCGCAATGTTGCATTTATACAGTTTCATTTTACATTCTATGGCCGAGATCTTAACTTTAACTGGTTACAGCAACTGCTCAACGGACGCTCAGCGTTATGTTTTAGGCATCTTTACGCGATTTTTATTGAACCGTTCATTTCATTAAAATATTTTAAATCATAAAATATATTTTAGTTACATAAAATGAGGTAAGTGGATTGAGACAAAATATCCTTGTATCTCTTTTGAAAGGATCGGGCGGTGGTTAATAGTCACAAATAGTTTATTCCGATTAGCTAAACATTTTACATAATGAGTTTTATATTGAAATTGTTTTGAATGGCGATGAATTCTGATAAAAAAGAGAAAACTTGAACTACTCGCATTTTTGCGTTTAGTAATCAGTCACAATCAAAATATTTACCGTTCATGTTTAGGTTCCAGACGCTTGGCGCCCGCTAAGTAAACAATTAAAATATCAGAACAGGTTATTTGCCGAATAATAGGTTACACACTCTCAGAACCGGTTATTCGCCGAATAATAGGCTGAAGTCCTAGAATAATGTAATAATAATTTTTTTTATTGTAGAATATAATACAATGCAATCTTAGTCGAGAAATTATTATACGCGTTTAGAAGAAGTATAAGATGCAAGAAAAACGTTTATATTTAATTATTTTCTTCTATACTTTAAATAAGATGTTATATTACACCGATTTATTCGGAAAAAAAATATATACCAATATAAAACAGCTGGTAATTATAGGATATATTAGATTACCTCACCATCTATATTGCCATATCTACGGTAATATTTCCTATGATTTTCATAGTTTTTTGCAGTGTATTCTGCTTTATTATGTTACCACCAAGAAGTCGTGACATATTGTTATGGTCTCCGTTTTTTTGTGGTGGCGGTTGGTGATTGATGATTGGTAGGTGGCGGTTGGTGTCTGTATTCTTTAAATTTCCAATAACTTAACAAATACTGTTCTGACTGACTTCAATTTTTTTCCAAATCATCTACACGTTTTCAGAAGTTCAAATCTGACTTTACATTTAAGACTTGTCCTTCAATGACCTTTTTAAGGTCAAAAAATGTTAAACTAGGTCAAAAAGGTATTTTTTCAACTTGCTTCAAATTGACCAATTTTTCTTTCAAAATCATCTTCAAGTTCTCAAAAGTTCAAATCTGACTATAGATTTGACCTCCAATGACATTCTCAAGGTCAACTTGCTTCAAATTGACCAATTTTTTTTTCAAAATCATCTTCAAGTTCTCAAAAGTTCAAATCTGACTATAGATTTGACCTCCAATGACATTCTCAAGGTCAACTTGCTTCAAATTGACCTATTTTTTCAATATCATCCACAAGTTCTCAGAAGTTCAATTTTTTTTAAAATCATCTACAGAGTTCTCAGAAATTCAAATCTTACTTGAGATTGAACTAATAATATTGTGAGCAACTAGGTGGTGATATTTTGTCTATTGCAAAAGTTTTTTATTTTATTTTATTGTTGTTGTTGTTATCCAAATATTACCAAGGGAATAAATTGATATTTGTTCTGTAGTTACAAGAATAGGTGTTCCAGTGCTGTGGTTTTGTTATGGAAGGAAAGATTTTGGCCAGGTTTTGACTTCTACAGTCATTTCATATCATCATTCTATCAAATTGTTGTTGCCTATAGTAACAGATGTATTGTTTATCTTCAGGTGTTGTCATGGTTATGTAATGAAGGAGAAGAGATCCTTGCCAAACACGGAGTGGTCTCTGACAACCTAAAGGGTATAAAACATCAACAGAGAGAGTTTGACAAACTTTACTTCTCAGCAATGGTAAGTCAAATTCACATTCCAGTTCTGTGTCATGATTTTTTTTATTATATGATCTGGTAAGGGAGTATTAACTGCTGAAATGTGACAATATGACTTGTTTGAAATTGTTTGAAACTAATTGTGTTTCGAAAAATATTGGTAAAGTGTGCCATCTATGAAACGATGCTAGAGTTATTTCTATTTAAGTGCTAGCATTTTGGTTGCAAACAATGATCCAAAGAATGGGAAGGTATAAAACCTATGATACATTATATTGAAATATTAAATTGCAACCTTATAAACAATAAAACCCAACAAGAGACAAATATAAAAAATATGATCAAAAATTAGATTTGTAATAAAGATTTTGAGACACTGAGACAATACACAATTTACAATTTATAATTTTTTTGTCAGATTCATGATATTAGAAAATGATTGCAATTTTTCTAGAATTTTTAAACAGATGTTTGAGTCTGCACTTTAATCACTGTTGAAACCAAAATGGCTGCCTCCATGGACTTCTTGCAGACAGATAGTCGTTTACCCAAAAATGAATTTTTCTGAAGACAACAGAGGAATAGAAGAAAGAAAAACATAAACACCTCTGAAAAATTAAACACCCTTGACATTGATAATTAAATCATATTAGGCTTCAAGAGAATTAGCACAATTTTTTTATTTTTACAGGAAAAAATGTCGTTGACAATTTTTGGGTGTACTATTTCAAAAGGGTATCGCTGTAATAATTATGGGGCGAGGGGTCTAGTTTAAGTAATTCCGAGACAATTGTCATTACCGCTTGTTATTTTCTAGACAAAATTCTCATATATGATGGCAAAATGTAATTAGAATTTGATTGATGTAAAAATATCTAATTAATGCGTATCATTATTTGGTATCATGATCATTTAACAGGTCAAAGTAGCGGGAGACAAATGTGATGAACGGATCATTATGAAAGTTAATTCATGATAAAATTAATATATTTTCATATATTTATTTCACCCTGGATGACCAAATTTTCTATTTAAGATATCACTCCATAGTCTTTAAATATACTTGCTTGAGGAAATGATTTCAATAATAGTCCAATAATAACTTGTAAATTCAGAAAAGCGGGAAGATTTCATTGAGAAAATGATAAGTTTCCTGAATGGTAATTCAATAAACCGGACATTTGAAGTCTGTACCTTTAATTAAATAGTCATAATTTACAGTTAATAAGCACAGTGTCTCTCACCAGTTATCTGACTCAGGCCTACTAGGGTGGTCAATATGAAAACAATTTTTCAAAAAGGTTCTAAATATTATGATTAGACTATTAATAACTAGGATGGAAGTGTAAATAACAAGTTATTGATATAGAATGAAATTTTGAGTTATTTTGGGTGTTGAAAAAATGATAATATAATGAATGATTAAAAAAGGCTCACAGGTATTGTGTACAATCTGTGAGACAGATGTTTTGATAGTTAAAGGAAACAGTCAAATGTTTTATAAATATCTCTAAGACAATTACGAGTGACATTAACATTAGATCAAAACAATGCAAGAAAAATAGACTTTTTGTGTATAAAACAATGCATTTTCGAAATTATAGTGTTTTCAAAAAAGAGATCTCGATCAGTTGTTTGTTGTATAGACATCTGCTATGTGGGGCAAGGTGACTCTACCCTCTAAGGCAAAGTCACCCCACCCCTGAGGCAAAGTCACCCCACCCCTGAGGCAAAGTCACCCCACCCCTGAGGCAAAGCCAACCTATCCCTGGGGCAAAGTCACTCTATCCTCATAAGGCACAAGTTCTATCAGATTTTTCATCCCAATGAAGCATTATATTAGGGGTATATATCTGTTAAATCAAATGTTTGATTTATGCTTTACAAAATTTCTGTATAAAGATTCTGACCTGCTTGTCATAATGCTATTTTGTAAACCCAAGTGCCCAGCCATATTTTGTAAAATGGTTACATATTTTGCACTCTGTGTTGTCCATTGTTCTTGTCATTCATTTATTGTGTTGTCACTGGCATTGAGTGGGTGGCAAAAGTGACAGGTTGGTCATTCAGGGAGTATGCATCAATGGATTCATTCAGTCATACATCTCAATGTACTTAATAGTGTTGAGAGAAAGAGATCTCGAGAAACTTTAAGAAATCAAACAATTAAATCCAGCTTTCTTCAAAGGACTTTATTTATGCTTTAATTCATTTTTGCTTTAAATTAGATATATCGTTTTAAACAGACTGACTGACTTCTGAAGCAGTGGTCTGTCTTCAATAGAATCTTCGGAGAAAATATTAAGTAATTGAAGTTATTTTTGTGTAGAGCATTTCTATACACACAAATAATTCAGAGAACTCGATATGGAAAATGAGGAATAAGATGTTCAGGGTGTCTTTAAAGAATATTCATCTAGGCCAAACCAATTAAATATAACATCTTCTGATGCATTTCCATTAATTTCCTGTATACAAAAACTGCACAATTGACACTCATTGGTCTAATTTAGCTTTAAGGCAGAGTTGCGAATATGAAAAGGTCCACTGAAGCAAAAGTTGTTCTTGGGTGAGGATCATTATCGGATGCATTGATAGTTAGAGATATGTTAGACTCTGTGGCTTATGTGGTCCATTCAGTGGAACTATGTCAACTTTGCTGTGAGGAATACTTTGTAAGTATACGTTATGATCAGCATTTTTTTCAATGTGATTCTCTTCTGCATACGTTGTGTATGTTTTTTTGTATTGTATCTATTATGATCTTGAAATATTTTAAATGGTCTCATATCTACATCATCTTTGAAAATGTTTGAAATTATTGAAATAGACCATAAGGAAGAAGCTGAATTACATGTACCTGTGATAATTTGTTATTTTGAAAAAAAGTGGAAAACAATTTTAAGAATACTAATTAATAATTAAATTGAACTTTAAATTAATAGAATGCACACGGGTCAACATTGAAAGCTATAAATACAAAAAGTCAAAACATTCAAAAGATATTCACGAAACGAAATAATATTTTCTGAATAACAAACCATACGTAATTATTTTTATATCTTTGAGTGAATTCATGGTCATTGGGATTATAGGTATTGATTACAACAAGGTTCAGTGCACATCAAAGTTGATGAATAATGAGATTATTTGAAGATGTCTCTATATCTATTACACACAGTCTAGTGCTCTTGTTCATAGCCTCAAGAAACTAGGAACAATTAAAAGTATTGTATTTGGCAAACAGAAAGTATTCTATTTGGCAAATATAACGGAAGTATTGTATAAAACAAACATAAACAATTGTTGTATTAGACAAACATACAAAAAGTATTATATTAGGCTAACAAGAAGTATTGTTCTTGGCAAACAAGAAGTATTGTATTTAGCAAACATACAGGAAGTATTTTAGCAGGAAAACTTGAAAGGAAGTTTTGCATCAGACATACAGAAAACATTTTATTGGGCAAAGTATCACAAAGCTTATTTCATAATAAATAGAACTCTGGGAGTTTGAAAATCAGAGTGACTACCCTCTATGGATATGTCTTTACTGGATATCAAAAAGTCAGATATAGAGGGAGTAGCTATAAGTCACATGATCAAAATTTGCTGATTCCAACAGGAACGATAATGTATCTTTGACTTATTAGGGCATCTTGACATTATTTTGAAATTACATGTTCTTGAATGAAAAGGGGTTTGCTGTTATGAGCACCACTTAAACATTTTATAATAAAAAATGCTTTTGTCATAACACTTTCCGTAGACTGTATTGTTATCTTTCTAAAGCACTTTTATTTTTAGCTACCTATGCATTGATTTTCTAAACAAAATCTACATGACACACTCTGTTTCATTCACTCTGTCTCAATCTTTTTATTGATCTGGCATATACAGTATACTGGTATACTGGGTGTTCCACACTTTTGGGTGGTTTTCTCACTTCCCATTGAACCATAGTTGCAAATGAAGCTGTTGGTTTTATTGTGAAGGGTCTTGATGCTATCTCTATAGTTTATATGTCTTTAAATGACATTAGGGTCCTTTGATTGGTCATTTATACCTGTACATAAAACTACCTTACATGTTATATATTTACTCAACATAATACCAAAATAACTTTAAATAAGGGTATTAACAAGCAATATGTCAAAAGGTTGAATTATAGGGAATATTCTATTTTGTGTTTGTCTCTATATTCATTGCATTCAATTCTGGAAGGGAGACAATGATATAAGAGTGAAGTATTTTGTTAGGGTCAGATGAATTGACATGTTAAAATTAATGTTTTTAATATTAAGAACACTGAAAAAGTGATCATAATTTTGAAAGTTTGGTTCCATGAAAAATTCAGATAGAAAGAAACTGCTTTTGAACTACTTGACTATACAAAAATAAAATAATTTGATTTTAATAGCATCTTTTAAAAGAGAGTTTAATTTCTAATATACTAGGCTTTAACACTCAAGGTATAAATGGTCCTTCATCCAATAAAGTATATGAATATGAGGTAACTGGTCAACTCGTACCCAAGACAACTCGTACCCAAGTCAAGTCGTACCAAAGACAACTCGTACCCAAGACAACTCGTACCCAAGACAACTCGTACCCAAGACAACTTGTACCCAAGTATATGTTTTGTTTTGAATCAAGTGTTGGGCTGGGAATGGGTATAGATATACATATTATAATGGTTACATACAGTTCAGAATAGTTTGAAGTATGTAGAAGAGTTTTTGGAAGAAATCGATTGAAATTTGTGACCAAATATATTGGTCACAGATTCAGATGTTCGAGGGAAGAGATTTATGTTTATTCCACATATTCATAATCATTGTTCACAATATTAGTGGTATTTTTGTATGTTAATGAGTGTTTGGAACAAGTATCAGATCTAATTCATCTTGAAATATGGTATTATCAAAAATATAAAGATTTTCAAAACTTGCTCCTATTTGTTATCAAACAGATAATCTATTTAGGATTTCATATTATCAGATTAAAGAATGATAATTCTAA